AGCGTCAGTTCTACTGTAAGCTGTCCAAGTGCGAGTTCTTCAAACCGTCCGTTTCGTTTTTGGGGCATATCGTATCGGCCGATGGTGTACAGCCCGATCCTCGGAAGACTGCTGTTGTCCAACAGTGGCCTTTGCCCAAGAATGTTTCGGAGCTTCGATCAGATTCGATCTTTCCTGGGTCTTGCTAATTACTTCAGGAAATTTATTCGTGCGTATGCGGCTTTGGTTAAACCGCTAACGGATTTGCTTTCTCCTAAGACTAAGTGGTTTTGGTCGGAGAAATGCGACGAGGCTTTCCTTCGTGTTAAGGAAGCGCTCACTCAGGCGCCAGTGCTTGCTTTGCCGGATCCTCGTGAACCTTTCGAGGTGATCGCGGATGCTAGCGACTTGGCATTGGGTGCAATTTTGCTCCAGCATGGAAGGCCAGTGGCTTTTGAGAGCCGTAAACTGATTCCTGCTGAGTTGAACTACATCGTCACTGAAAAAGAGCTCTTGTCCGTCGTGCATGCGCTCAAATTGTGGCGTTGTTATCTCGAAGGTGTGAAGTTCACGGTCGCTACAGATCACGAGCCTAACACCGCCATGCGCCGTAAGTCCCTGTTGTCTCGTTGTGTGGCGCGGTGGTCGGAATTTCTGGAGTCTTTCGATTTCGAATGGCAGTATCGCGCGGGTCGTTGCAATCCTGCAGATCCGTTGTCTCGGCTTCCGGGACACATCAATGTTGAAACGACGAAGGTTATGACGATTAGTGCTCAACGGTTGGGAGAAATTTCTGCCTTCCGTGACACCACCGTAGAGCTTAAGTGCTCTTTTCCTATGTTCGAGTCATCGGTACTTGATGGGTATGGTATCGATCCTTGGTTTAAATTATCAGACAACACGATTGCATTATCGCAACGTGGTCAATTCTGGTATCGGGGAGATGCATTGGTTGTGCCAGATCATGCTGATTTGCGTACTACCGTTCTGCGTCTTTGTCATGACCATCCATTGGCAGGCCATACGGGCGTGACCAAAACTCTTGATTTGGTGCGTCGTTCGTTTTGGTGGCCTAGGCTGCGGCAGCGTACTGTCGTACGTGTGACAGCTGTCAGAGGGTTAAGGCAGATACCGGTCTCCGTGGTAGGTTGCTTCTTCCGCTGCTTCCTGATCAGAAGTCTGGTCTGGGTTGACACTACTGCAATTAGCGGTTTAAGGTCCTGGGTTCGATTCCTGGGGAAATCCCCGAATTAATCGGGAGCGCGAGATTATGGCTAGCTGCCGAGATGTGGAGTTGAGGTCACAGTTGATGGACCAGATTCGCACGCTGGATTGGTGGCGATTGCCGAACCCTCCGTCTCTTCGGATCTTCGGGTGAATGGATGAGGAGGGGTCCCTGAAGGCTGGATCCGCCGCCTTGGACTTACAGTTCGTATGGCGAAGACAGTGTGGTAGTGGTGGATGGTGCTATAAGGTGATAAATTGTAGAACTGACAATGTGATAAAGCGGCCCAGAAGCCTCCCATTCTGTAACATTACATTACATGATCAGAAGTGGTCTTTTGTGACCATGGACTTTATAACTGATCTGCCTCCCGATCCTGATGGCAATACTTTGATTTATGTGTTTGTGGACAAACTCACCAAGATGGTTCGGTTTGTGCCCTGTAAGGCCTCTGTTGACTCTGTCAAAGCGGCTGAAATCTTCGTCAACACCATTGTGTGTTCGTATGGTGTTCCGTCTGTCGTCATTTGCGACAGGGATCCTAAGTTTACCTCTGCATTTTTCGAGTCGCTTTTTGATGGATATCAAATCGACTTGCGTCGCAGTTCTGGTTATCATCCTCAGACGGATGGCCAAACAGAACGTGCAAATCGTGTTCTGGAGGATATGTTGCGTCATTTCGTTTCTGGCGATCAATCCTCATGGTCCCGTTATCTGCCGATGGCTGAGTTCGCCATGAACAATTCGTTGCATGAATCTACGCGAACTACTCCTTTTCGGTTGATGTACGGATATGAACCCCTAACTCCGGCTTCTCACCTGGTTCGCAAATTGGGGGAGGAGAGGGCCAAGACGCGCTTGCAAAGCGTGGCCAAACTGTCCAATCCGTTACCTGTTAAATTGGGTGAATTGGAGTTCGAAGTTGAGTCTATTCTGCTTCACAAAGAAGTGAAAGAAGGACGTCCACAAAATCGTTTCTACCTAATGCGTTGGAAAGGTCAGGGCCCGGAATTTGATTCGTGGGAACCCGAAGCGAACCTAACTAACTGCGATGATTTGTTGCGCGACTACTGGGCACGTCAATCTGACTCTGTTCCAACCTCGAAGTCCCAAGGTCAGGCGACACTTTCGGGTGACGCTGACGCTTCTGGCTCGAAGCATCGAGCCCCTCAGACTACTCGTCACGGCCGTGTGATCAAAAAGCCTTCGCGCTTTAATGCTTTTCTCAACCACTTGTCGGTCACCAGCGGGGTTCCGGAATCCCTGCTTTTTCCTCTCGTGTGGCGGTGAAGCCAAGGTTGGCTGGCTGTCGGGACGACCAGCCATTTAGGGGGGGAATGATGTAACGTGCAAGAGCAGTTACATAACTCTCAATGCTTCTCTTCAACGGGGTTCACGTAGCTATTCTCAAAACCTTCCTTTTGCGACGTCGTACATTAGTGCGGGTCGTACACTGGATGGCTACATGTTCGCTGGTGTATCGCATCCGGTGTCTTTTGACACCACCATGACTGGTTGTGGTAAGCTTTAACGTAACACCCAAGCAAAGAGACGCGCTTCTGGTAGCGCAACGCATACAGCACCTTGTTCAGAGTAAAGTCAAATTACAAACTGGCGCAAAATATAAGATACACAAACTTAATTAAACATAAAAACAGAAAAGTCGTTCAGAGCCGTGTCGGTGACATGGACGCCGCTGATGGCTTGGAACAGCTTTTTGGAACATTCGATACCGACACCAGCGTTTTGGGTGGTATGCTGCTCCTTACAGGGACTGCTCGTAGCGTGCTTCCAAGCCATCAGCGGCGTCCANGTCACCCACNCGGCTCTGAACGACTTTTCTATTTCTTACGTTTAATTAAGTTACAGTTACAAGTTCCGCACACAAGTGCGGGTGTGTCCGTAAAAGCCGGGGGGGCCATGGACGTTGTATTGGTATTGGTGCGGGTACGCGGGAGGTCCTCTTCATTCTCCCTCGTCCGCTTCAGGGCGAAGCGCCTCAGCGCGACGTGCCTGGCCTCCCAGTTTTCCGAGAGGTACCTGGCCAATGCCAGGGGTGGCGCCTCAGTCATAGTGGTGCGCATGCTGCACCCCGTAAGGACTAGGTCACCATCATACTTAGCCCGTATGCTCTTGTAAGCGGAACATTCTTCGAAAACATGCAACTCATCTTCAACCGCTCCACAGTCACAAAGCCTGCAGGTACGCGCGGTGCGCTCACACCCATTAGGCCTATTAACCTCTAACTCCCAACAGCCTAACCGAAACTGCATGAGCACATGATGAAGTCGCTGGGGCATGGTCCCTTTAGTGTGCTCCAACCAATCAAGACGCGCACCCCTTGACGGGGCAGCTCCCATCCAGTTCATATAGCGACACGCCTTGGCTCCGGTAATTCCTATGGGGAAGACGCAGGGGTCTCCCAAGGTATTCGGGCACTCCCACCGAGCATCAAGCCGCTTGGCAAATACCTTAAGAATGCTCTCAACTGGCAATTTAAGGGTGGTGTAGTACGATATAAGATCATTACCGCGCGTATTAGTGGGGGGTTCCACTCCTAAGCTAGTAAGAAAGGCTAGTACCTTGCTTGCCCAACACTCAGTGATGCCCCCAAGTGCCAACTCCAGGTCAGCGACAAATGCCCGGTGACACAGCGTTCCCGGCCTCTTAACCACAGAGTTCCAAAACCTAAGTACAAGATTGGTCCAATGGAACTGGAGTGGCCTCTGTGACAGCTCGTGATATAGGGAAACCATAGTCGGGCTCCTCGCCCCAACTACGGTTCGCATGTAAGCACGCTGTTCCTGGACCATGGGATTAGCCATAGCACCTTCAAAATTCACATTAATGAAGCCAGGTCCCCAAACTTGCGCTCCATAAGAAAACACCGGTACAACTAGTGTATTGTAGAGCGACATACATAGCTTGGGGGTGGTAATTCTCTTATCTCGACACAGGGTGCTGAGCCCAAATGTGGCCCGCCTCCCTGCTGTGAGTAGTTGCTTGGTACATGCTGAGAACTGCACTCCTGGGCCATAGTGCAACCCGAGATACCGTGCCGTCTCGTTGCCGGTCAGCACCCGCAACCTCGCCCCACCTAACCGGTACTCAGCTTCAACAAGCTGCTTCCGCTCACGCGTAGCACCCCCAAAAATGAGGACCTCGCACTTGGCGGCATTCGCGGCCATACCCGTCGCTTAAAATTAAGTTTGTGTATGTTATATTTTGCGTAAGTTTGTAATTTGACTTTTCTCGGAACAGCTTTTTGGAACAGCCGATACCGACACCAGCGTTTTGGGTGGTATGCTGCTCCTTACAAGAACGGCTCGTAGCGTGCTAGGTTGATTGCTAGGTAGCGTGCGAGTTTACCTATCAGGATGTTTGTTCGCATATCCCTCCAAGCGAGAGGGCTTGGACCTATGCTGATGTTCGTTACAAGAAGTGAACTGAGGACTGATGCTACACGTCATGTATACCAGGGTTCGACAACCCGTACGGAGCCCGTAAGTTTTTGGCCTTTTTTCGGTATCCCCGTCAGGGCCGTAAGACTTTGCAGTGGCTCCCGTAAGGATTTTGGGGCGCGAAGCGCTCCGTACGGGGCCGCCCCCGGACCGGCCGGTTACGGTGGCTCCGGTAAGGATTTTAAGGATTTATAAGAGGATGTACGGGCCCTGTAGGGGAGAGGACGGACCATATAAAGGATAAGGCCACACACTTGGCAGACATAGTTCATATTGCAATATTTAACTACACTTTTCATAATGCTTTTATAGCTTCTGGTCTGTAACATCCAGCGATGGCAGACAATGAGTCGTCAGGAGGTGACCAAGGGCGTCCTAATCCACCGCCTTCCAAGAAGCGCGCCACCTTAAAATTGTCGGACCTATGGGGCTCTGGTAAGCTCGCTCATCTACTGTGGGAACGGAGCTGGTTGTAGCCACTCCTTGCCTCTCTCATGTTCGGTCCGGACGCAGGTGGAAAGCCTGCAAGCCAACCTGTTCCCACAAAGAAAGTAGATGATAAGCCTTGCAAAGAAGGTAGGGTAGGGACTCGAAGCTGATTGACAAGAACCGCAGGCCTGAAAGTTGACCGAAAGATTTGTGTTATAGGCTCCTGTACCGGCCAAGGCGCTTGACTTTCGCTGAGTGTGCCGTGTCCCCGAGTGTAATGGTTCACGAGACAAGTCGGGTGTCGGCTTCCTCGAAGCCGGAAAAAGGGCGGGCCCCCCTTGCATCCGTACAGGCCGGTAGCTAGCGCGGCACGTGTGACAATTGATGGGTAGTGTCAACGCGGTGGGAGATGTGCTTTGTTGCAGCAGTGCTGATGGTGTGAGAGCTAAGCTTGCACTGGCGGAATCGTCAGCACCGCCTGCGGGCTTCACGCGAATCGCATCCATCCCGGGTGCATGCCGCATGGACAGTGCGGCAGACCGCAAGTCGGAATGCCCGTGCGGGCGAATGGTAACGAAAGCTGGGT